TTTCTCTTTAACGTTCTCTGCTGAGGTAAGTAGTCCAAGATTGGCTTGTGAATTGTTAAGACAATGATCAAGAATGATTGTTTGTCATTTATGATCCAAAATAGAGTCTATCATCTTTGATTGTTTGGTTTGAAAGTTTTCACATCTTTGTTTAAGAGCTTGCTTTATCATCTTTGTCTTATACTCATCATTTTTGATTTTTAAGGCTGTTGATATTAAACCCAGGAAAGAGCTAATTTTAGGTAAGTTTTGGCGAATTAGATTAATAAAAACAGTATTGATTGAGTCAAAGTGGGTATCAAACAAGGGCGCAAATGTCCTAATTTTATTGTGATATTGATTCGCGAATCTTTGATTTTGCCAGTATTAATACTTTGCAAGGAAATACATTCCAGTTTCTGAAGATCAAATAGTTGCCTATAATCTTTTTTAAGTGTCGAAGGTTTAAGGTCTTTAATGTGATCAGAAGATTATCTGCGGGAAATAGTCAATTCACAGCTTTAATGATGCACTGTTGAAAATGGTTCTAATAAAAGTTCAAGTTGTGGATTGATGATAGACAGGCCAAGGTCATTTGTTTGAGATGACACGATTTTAAAAGATTGTCAGTTTTCTGTGAAAAGGTTTCCCATTGTTGATCATTGATATTGTCATATAGAAAAACAGTTTTTTTTAATTACTTTGAATGAAATAGTTCTTTGAGTCACCTCTGGAATGGTAATTTTAGTAACAACAATAGAATAATAGGTGTATTGTGAGTCTACATTTATGACTTCTGACGAGATAATACTATTTAAAAGGATATTAGAGAAAAAAATGTGATCAATATGGGAGAAAGTTAATATGGGAGAATGACTGTACGTAGTATGAGTAGTATCAGTGTTATCATGAACAAGATCACATGAGTTGAAGATGTTATAGGATTTAAGGAGAAAATAATTCATTTGATTTAATAGGATTAATAAAATGAGTTGATACAGCGTTAAAATCGCCAAGTAGGATGATGTGTATATTCATTGTAAAAGCTTGTTAGATAATTTCAGATACCTCTTTGATGGTTTGTGAATGTAGTTGAATATTAGAACTTGAAATGTATACGTTGATAATTCTAATTTTGAAGTGAGCTGAGAATTATAAGTCTACATAAATGTATCTTCCCAAGTTGCCAGCATGATTATATATATGATTAGCTAGCGGTTTTTTAATCAAAAGTCCCACACTAAAGCTAACTTGTTGGGAGCTTGTTTATGTTCAAAAAATGGAATGAAGGATGGGGGAAGTGAAAAACATAATGCAGAAAGATCTCTATTTGAATTAAAATTAGTTTCTTGAATGCCAATGACGTCAAGATGATTACACAGATAAAGATTAGTTATAAATTTTTGTTTAAAAGAGTCATTGAAAGAGCGAAAGTTATGGGTGGCAATATTTAAAGTCAGAGTTAAAATGAAAGGATTATGTGAAAAGGAATTATTATAAAATGAGGATTGATTATTCGTATTGGAATCATTTATCATACTAATTATAATAATTATAAGAATTGTGTTGGGGGGATACAAAAACATTATCTTTATTTTTGCAGTTAATTGATGGGATAATAAGGGCTTCAATATCATTGATAACATTTGAGATTTTTAGGGCACGTTGCATTTGAGCTACTGCTTGAAACGTGAAATTGAGTTTTTAACATTCATTTTAAGGTTTTCTTTAAGGGTATCATTCTCATCACATAGGCAGTCAACTTCAGTATAGTCGCTAATAATGCCAGCTTTGTAAGGATTAGGGTCTTCATAATCATCATCTTTCATAGCTGGAAAAGCATTAAGTTTGTCTGCTTTTTTTTGGGTGAGAGCGGTGATGCTTAAATTATCTTTAATAGCATTAGCTCTATCAATAGTGAAGGAGAGATTATTGTGAATCGAAGTAAATTGATTCGTTATCAGTTCAAGTTTGAGCATTATTTGGTCTAGTTTAGGTTGATTATCGGTTGGATGATTGGGATGGTTATCTTGATAATATTCATATTTTGTACTCTCAGCTTAATCTTGATTTGCGTGAATACTAGCAGCAAAGGTTTGTTCACCTTTTGCATTTATTTTTCACTGATCAGGGCGATAGTAGTTTGAAGGATCATTAGGATCAGATTTTTTTGTTATATGGGCATATGAATTGTAGGTTGTTGATAGCCATTTGAGTTTTTTGGACGTTTGGGTAACTGACTGTTATTTTTGGAGGGTTTAGGTTTAGGTGGAGGGGCTTTGTAGTTACTAAACTATGCAGGCTAGTATCTTGGATAGAGATTCTGCATTTGTATATCATTGGGTGCTTTGCGATTGCAGTGGCAGTTATAGGACTGATGTTTGGGAACTGAGCATATATAACATAGTTTTGTGTTAGAGTCGATCCAAATAAGCCTCTTTTTATCAAGAAAGAAAATATCAAACTCTTTAACAAAATCAAGTCTTTCTTGTGATTTAAAGTAGAATACCGCATACTGTAAATTATGGTAATTAGATTTTACTTTGGGAATTACCCATGTTATTGTATTTACAGTTCTACCAATATTAATTAGTTAGCATCCATTTGTATCAATGGGAAGGTTGGTTAACTTTAAGGAAAATTTAGATTTGGCTTTAACTTCTTCATTAGTCAAAGTGCATTTGTAGATATGAACTAGATCTTTGAATACAAAATAGCTATTGATATTATCAAATTGGATCATATTAGTTGTGTCATCATACATTATAGTGACTTGTTGTCACAAATTTTTTGTAGTCATGAAGCATCTAACGATTTTGTCAAAAAAGGAAAATACCACATAGATATTCATATCGATCACTGAAATCGGGATCTCTGTGATTTTAATGGATTTTTCTATGGTAAATTTGCCGATCGGGGTTTGTGTAAGGGGTAAAAATGTGGTATTTTCAATTTTAGGAATATGAAAGGCAATAGCTTTTTCTGCGTCAACTTATATAGTAAAGCCAATTCTGATCATTTTCTTTGTTTGGTTAGTGGGGGAATTTCTAACTGATGCATCAATGAAAGAAGAGTATTCTGTATCACAAAACAAATCACAGGCTGCATTTGTTTTTTTCTTTATTGGATTTGCTGGAAAGAAAAATATCTGCAGCGCAGTAAGCAAAAAAAATTAGAGAGTTTTGTTCTCTTTCAAAGCGTGTAATATTCTTTTCAGTATCGGTTGAAGGCATATTTTCTGAAGTATTATGTATTTGGTCATTTTCATATACTTTATTTTTGGGTTGTAGGAGAATTTACCCTTGTTAACGGTGGATGAAGTTGGATCAATATCCATGGTTTCTTCAGTTATATTTATATTTTCTTGTGTGAAAGTTAACTGAACAGGTGTTTATTATTATGTTTCTTTTTCTTGTTGTATAAGTTGGACTAGTTTTGCTGGTGGTAGTGGGGTTCTATTACTAACTGGTGAACTAGAACAGTTATGGTTTGAGTTTCTTCGTAAAATAGTTTTTTTTGTCATTTTTTCAGAATTTTGCGAAAATAGGAAAAGAGTTTTTTTTATCAGTTAATATTATTTATTAAGAAAATGATCAGTATTTAAAAATTGTTTCTTTGCAGCAGAAACTTTATTAATAAAAAAATGATTAGCAATCTATTTTTAAAAATAAATTATTTTATTACTACAGGTTATTGATTTATAGATTTTTCTGAAAAAAATAAAAGAAATTACAAGTAATGAAAACAAAACAAAATAAAAACTATCTAATAATCTAGACTAAATGTTAGCTACCTCTTATTAATAAAATATATAAATATACATATCTATCTAGGTTGACCTATTATCATCAATTCCTTCCTTTAGACCCAAAAGGAACTAGCCTAATGACTACTAAACTCATTAAGAAAAGAAAAAGAACATATCAGAACTGGTTTAAAAATCCGTTCACTTATATTCATATGTAAGGGCAAGTTGAATCCATAACTTCCAAGTATTAATCAGTACTATGCTATTATTGTAAGACAAATGTTTACATTTCTTCATATTTTTCATGTCAGAAGTGATGTGTTTTGATAATTCTTTGGCATTCATAAGAGAGTAGCGATATAATTAAATTTCAGTAAATAACCGCTCATAAAGAGCAATGATTGCAGTTGTGAGAATCCTATTGGTTTTTTTAGGAGATCCAATCAGATTTGTGAGACCATCAAATAAAACAGAAGGTAATTTTCCTTGAATAGTAAGTAAAAAGGAACTGATTCTATCTGATGGATATGCAAAATGTTTATTTAGGAGTAGCTCTACTGGTAAAGAGATTGAGGTAAAAAGAGAAGGAGAACAGCATTTTAAAATCAAGATTATAATTTAAGACTTTATGTCAGAGATGATAGTCTTGAGTTTCGATGAATAAGCAACACATGATCATAAATGATTAACTGTCTCAGTAGTTAAATTGCATCCTATGCAGTTCCAATTTCTGTAAAGATCTGGTCTTAATTTTTCTAGACAAGATAAAGTGGGTAGTTCTCCTAAAAAAATCTTCATTATGAACAAGCAGAGTTTTCTCTATTGAAAAGAAGTTGAGTAGGTAGACTGATCCAATAGACTTTTGACTGTTGTGTTAAGCTTTTAAGATCAGCATTTTTATGCAAGTCAATAATATTAGAGACTGCAGTAGCAGCAAAAATGTTTTTAAGGAAGTGTCTTGCTGAGGATTCTATAATAATATCATCAAATTGAAATAATAAATTAAGAGAATAAACTTGTAAATAGTTGATGGAGATCATAAGTGATTGTATTCCTAATCTGGCAAGATCATTAGCAATATTATTATAAATATCGCCACTATGTCCTTTTACTTTGATGAGTGTAACATTGAGGTTGAGTAGATCTACAATATAATTGTTTGTTTTTCAAAGAGTATAATTAAACACTTTTTCAAATGTTCAGATAGAAAAATTGTTGTTAATAATATAAGAGCTAAATCCATGTATTGTAGCCATATTGTCAGTATAAATAATTATATTGATTCAGTTTGTATTGCTTTATCTGAAAAACTACTATTCTCTATCTGCATTCCGGTATCTTTACTATAAACAAAAGCTTTTTGAAATTTTGCCTCTTCATAAACAATTAACTTATTAGCTCAATCCAATTACTTTTTTCTGAAATTTCTTCCAGTGAGATAGGATTGCGCTTCATATTTAGTAATTGATCAAAAGCTCTTTTGACTAGACTTGATGGCATTTTATTTATAATAGGTTTATAATCAGGATGAAAAGGGTGTATTTGTGCATATATATCAATAATTTCTTTTATATCTGCCATTTTAGTAATGAATTTATTTTAGTTACGTAATGTTTAAGTTTTGATCAAAATAAAATTATGCACTAGCCGATAGTACCAGAAGATTGCAAAAAAAATTATATAGATCACACGGATTATGCTTGCAAATTACAAAGTTCACTCTAAACTGTTTTCAGAATAAAAATACACAAATATTACAATTTATAATGTGCCAAGAAAAAATTACACATTTACTCAATAGAAATAAGCTTGATGTAGAATTTTATTAATATTTGTATACATTTAAACAGCAACGTTAAGCTAATACATAAAATGTGACCGAATAATATAAGTCATTGCAGAATAAATAATAATAAATTCTTTGATGTGCACTCAAATATACTATAATATATTAAAAGCGTTCAAACCAGAATGGAAAGCTTCGATAACAATCCTGCATCTTATTCACAAGTTTCCTAAACTGAGGAGTACAAAGAGTGTCTTTTTTGAATGTCACTTTGTTTGATGGTGGACTTGGAATATATAGTTTAGCATATAAAATATTAAATGATTCGTAAAAGATCTCTTGTATTCGTAGAAGCGTTTCTATTTCATCAACAAAAGCCGACATTTCTTTAATCGAAGCTGAAAACGTCACTTGCCCAAAGTGAACCATAGTATACATACCATGAATAAGATCTATAATGTAAAAATCAAGCTTAAAATCTAATAGAAGCAAATGTGATTTAAAAATAATTACATGAGAAAAAGTATGTTATATTAATCTTACTAATACATTGAGCGCCTATTATTTTTATATCTGCATCTTTGTCTATAGCCGAATCCAAAGAATCCTTCATGAAGATATCAAGGCGAATGAGGTTATTGCAATTCTTATATACGTTATTTTTCTGTGATGGGGACCCACTTCGCCTATGAATATAACAGATTTTGATTAGTTGATGGATGATAGAAACAATAAAGTCCGGTTGTTTACTCTTACCCTTGCTTTGCTTTTGTCTAAAGCTGTGTTAGGCCACTGAATGACATGCTGGTTTAGGTTATTGAAGAATTCTCGCATAATTCGATCAAGATAGTTTGTGATGTGTGTTATTTTGCTATGTTCACTCCTTATTTTCGACGTGTGTAATGTTTTTAGGCAATCCAAGATGGCAAAACCTGCATTATCTTTCAGCGTTTTTTCATTAGCAAGTTGAGTATACAACCAATTCGTGGCATCATCACACAACTTATTTGCCATCTTAATAGCCTTTCTAAATGTTGACTCGTATGTAGGATCCAATATAATTTGTTGAGTTGGCATTAGTTCTTTGTGAATTTGATCAAGCAATGGCAAGCCAAAAAGATCAATCATAACAGTTAAATATGAATCAGGGGCTAGCATTAGAATCGAGAATAAAGATAATATTTCGTGAATATGTGACTCAACAAGTAAACCTCCATTTCTTGCTATCCATATTGATTCATTCTAGTATTTTCAGAATAATTGAGAAACGTTGGTCTTTCCTAAGAAAAAATCATTAACCGAATCCTCACGCTCAAAATATAGTTCACGTGAAATATCATTAATTGCTATGATGTCATCCGCCTCATCCTCCTCTTCCTCAAAGAACGGATTATCAGTAAGCTTTGGGAGCGAGTTTCTTAACGTTGGACTCAGTGGTGAAGGCGAAGTATATCCATCTAGCTGATGGTTCTGTTTTCTCCTCTTCCTGGCATTGTATTCAACACTTGCAAAGTCAGACAAAGATTCAGATGCTTTATTATGTTCTTTTATGGTCTCATTCAGTACATTTTTAGATCTTTCATTCTACATGAAATGAATGTTATTTGCATTTAGTAATAACATTAAATTTACGAGTTTGAAGGTAAACCTTACCATAAGCAAATGGTTGTCCGCCTATTGTATAAGAAATAAAAAGAAAGAATTAAGCTTAATCTTAAATGTGGATAATGATTAAAGACTAACAATTCCCTTTACCTGTATTTCACAAATCCTTGCAGAAACCTCAGCATCTTTTCTGTTCATCTTTCTTTTCATATCAAATTTAACCCAAAAATCATCGATGTACCCGCCAGTCTTTACACCTTCCTACAAAAATTAAGTTTTATTTTATATCAACACAAACCCACACCATAATAGAATATGGGAATGTTTCTAGTAAAATCAAGTCATGAGGCATAGTAAATCATATGATCCATAATGTGATTTTACTGGAAACGCTCTCATATAACAATCAGAAAAACTTGATTTCTTTATTAGTAATAGAAAACAAGAGTAACTCATGATGGTTAATTTTTGCAAGTTCATAGAAAGATTTCAGCAGAACGTATTCCATAATCACTCGGATACGTATTCCAGTGTGTAGCTTCAATTCAAGTTGAGACAGGGCAGAATGTATTCCCTCTTGATTCCTACTACAACTTTCATATACCTCGCAAAAAAACCCTAAAATCTAATTCTAACTCTACATAACTAAAACCCTCTAACCCTAAAAAATGAATACACCTTAAATTGCGCAAACATCCTTTTAGTTTCCTTTTTTTCTTTTTCTGATCCTTCCTTTATAAGCCACTTTAGCTGTCACGTGATTGCTACTATAATCTTTTCCTTGTTAATAGGTTGTTTAGACACATATCATTCTTCATGATATTCTAATGCATCCCAACTTTCACATGGTGTAGTCAGGAAGTAAGAAATCCAGGCTTGTCGGTTATTTCACTTTTTCTTGGCATAGTAGTATCACCCACTTTTGGTCATAATGTATTAGTTCTGGAATTAATTAGCCTAAAGAAAAGAACGTTAAGAAGCCTGTACTACTTTGCTCATCAGAATAACTAAAATTAATGTCACGACTTTTGGTTAGTTTTATTGTCCAAATATAGTTTAAACTTTTTGTCATTTTTATAACTTATGCTTTATTTCTTTAATGCTTAATGCTTAATGCTTAATATCAACAACAATTAAAGTCTTATGCCTTATGCTTCGAAGCTTTGGCTTTCTACAAATATATTAAAAAATTGGCTTATTTTGCTTATATAATCAAAAAAAATCATGGATTTTTTTCCCAAGCCTTTATTATTTAAAGTGTAACGTAGAACTTATATGTACAAGTCATACCAGCAATTTTCTGTCTATCACGCGTGTGTAATAGCCAATCAAAATTTAAACGATCAGGTGTAACATAATATCTGTTACAATAATAACAATAATAATTAATTTAAGATCACGTGCGCTAATCTGATTACACGAGTTTTCTTTTATGGGTTTCATATTATACAAATTACCATTTTTGGATTAGGGTTACCATTTTAGTTGATCTTCGCCATTTTTCGACAGCCAAAAATTTCCTTTTTAGGGCATATTTAAGGTTGATAGACGAAATCAAGAGTTTAGACAGATGTCTAAATGGTAAAAGTAAAGCTTGGTTAAATTATATTAAAACTTTATTAAAAAATTTGCAAAACTAAAGGTTTTACCGTTGCCAAATCCAAAATGAGTTTAGACAAGCAACCTTAGGCATATTAAACACGTATATAGACATTTGTATAACCTACAGAGATGGTAAAATAAATTGCAGAAAATTTCAAAATTATTAATAATTTCTAATATGTACTGGATATGTGACTCAAAATGACCAGTTAAATTGGATTTTCTAATATGCACTGGATACGTGGCTCCTAATAACTTAGTTCGTTGGATTTTCTAATATGCACTGTAAAGATGGGAACTGTAATTAATATGTTGCACCTTTTAATGTTGCAACTTATGTTGCAATTAGTTTTAATTTATATATGTTGCAACTTATAATGTTGCAACATATGTTGCAACTAATTTTAGCTAATGTTGCAACATTTTGTAAATTTGAAATCAATTGCTGTATCATCTTTAGTGCACTAGGTGCGTGGCTTCAAATGATTTGCATGACTGGAATTTCAAAATAATCACCGGGTATATGGCTCCTGATCATCGGGTTGATCTGAAATTTTCAAACCTGTTACCAGGTGACCAGGTCTTCGATTTTTGATTGCGTAAAAAAAATATGTTTTTTCTTTTGAAAGTGAGATTAAAACGCTTCCTGTTGGCAAACGCCAGGGCATATTCCGGGTAACAATTGCAATTGTAATAGTTTATAAAGTTTATAATGCGCATTATTGCTATTAATAAATTTGACTAACAAAATTTTAATATATTCATTAAATCAATAAAATTTGATAAATTAAAATTCGCATTAATTAATTTAACTATATAATAAAGATTATAATAAAAATTCTCATCATCAAGATTGAACATAATAAAAAATAGAAAATTTTTATTTTATTGATGTTGTATACAAATTTGAATTGTGAATTCCAATAAATCGTTTAATACCTTCTAAACTGACTTTATTATTACGCAAAATGTTTAACCGATCCACCCTTTGAAAATGCAAATCCAGAAAAAAGGAATTAATTGATCATTGTGAAATACATTATATGAAAGATCAAGAAAATAAACGTATAAAAAAGTCAGCTGAAACTCTAGAATAGTATGAGCTACGCCTAATACGAAACTGTGAATAAAAGCGTAATAAAAAATAAGGAGTATTTTGGAAAATATTGATAGATACCTCAACCAGCAGTATGAAAACCCATTTCAGTTTATAGCAATTTAATCTATATTAATCATGAATATAAGATAGCTGGTCACTAAATAAAAAAACAATAGCCTTATCTCAAGCGTTTAATGACACAATAAGCATCTTCAATCATATTACAATTATTTTTGTCTGAAGGTATAATACACTGATGTGTTTGTATTTCTTTAGTAAACTATTTAGACTATCACGTATTGTGACCCTTAGCTTTACTTTATCAAGGAATCATTTCTTGCAATAAGCTAAAGGTCCAAATAGCCCTAGTCTTCCTGAAATCTTCCCATAAACAACTTCAAACTTATTTGATGTTTTGATTAGAACACACTTCATATCAACTTTTTTTCCAATACAGGCCTTTTTGAATGGGTTTTGCTTTTCATTTTAAGCATCATTCGTTACTAGAGCTTGTATCTCTTTCTTACATATTAAAGAGTTATTTATTATTAAATATTTTTTTAAGTTCTACTAAAAAATCAATATAAATAAGGAGACTTATCAAACATCTTTTATGTAATCAGATGTAAAAATGCCTTGAAATAAAGGAAATGATGAGCTCATTTTGAGTTCTTCTTCCATTAATGTTTCCTGAAAGTAGTGTTCTACACAGATTGGATCAGATCAGATTTGAGCAAAATCTGATTCGATCTGAATCTGAAAAATCCGAATCTGATTCGATTTGAATTCAACAAATCTGAATCTGATTTGATCTGAATCTGACAAATCCGAATCCAAATCTGTATCTGATCTGACAAATCTGAATCTGTATTTGTATCTGATCTGACAAATCCGAATCCGTATCTGTATCTGATACATCAAAAAAATTTTTAACAAAAATCCACCTCTGCCGTTCAGAACAGCATTTTAATATTAAAAAAATAACAATTTTGTTGTTTTTTTAACAAAAATCCGCCTTTAACGTTAGGATAGGCATTTTATTATTAAAAATTAATTTTTTTAATAATAAATGTTGCGTCCGACTTTTGGGGTGGTATTTTGATATAAAAAATTAATAAAAATCAATTTTTTTATTAATAAATGTCATGTCTGACTTTTGGGGCAGCATTTTAATATAAAAAATTAATAAAAATTAATTGTTTTATTAATAAATGCTGCATCTGACTTTCGGGCGGAATTTTTTATTAAATATTAATTTATTTAATAATAAATGCCGCCCCAAAAGTCGGATGCGACATTTTTATATAAAAAAATAATAAAATTAATTTTTTATTAATAAATGCTGCGTCTGACTTTCGGGGTGGTATTTTAATATAAAAAATTAATAAAAATTAATTGTTTTATTAATAAATGCTGCATCTGACTTTCGGGGTGAAATTTTTTTATTAAACATTAATTTATTTAATAATAAATACTGCCCTGAAAGTCAGACATAGCATTTTTATATAAATAATTAATAAAAATTAGTTTTTTTATTAATAAATACCACGTCTGACTTTCGGGGTGGCATTTTATTATTAAAATTTAATTTTTTTAATAATAAATGCTGCGTCTGACTTTTGGGATGGCATGTTAATATAAAAAATTAATAAAAATTAATTTTTTTATTACAGCTAATTTCATAATTCATGGACCATTAATAATTTTTCAGTCGCATTCAGTCGCAATATTTTATAG